TTTCATTGTCTAATGCATTACACATCAAAGTTTAAGTTCTGCCTTACCTAATGCATGTTCACTGTACTGAAGCAAGTTAAAACTGGTCTGTTGACCCTGGGAGGAGGGGTCGTTTTTTTTTTTCCTTTCTTTTCAAGTCCAAGATATACTTGTAGTTGAAATGTGTTAAGTTGGCTGTCTAAAAAACTTCACCATGCCAGGACAGACTAGCAGAGTAAAATTTTAGAGACTTCGCATCATATAAAAAGCATGTTTATTGCCACAAAAAAGGAGAAAAATTCCTAAACCTGGATACATTTAAAACTTGATTACTCAAAACAGCATGCATCACTTATACTGGCTTTCTTCAGCCCCAGTGAATAGTCAATGACTGACAACTAAAAATATTGGGTCTTAAGTCTGGTTAACAAAAGCCCTATGTGGGAAGAAATGAACAATTGATGTATATAATACTAAAATCTAAATATTATATCCAGTCTGAATTAAACATAAACATGGAACATGGGTAACAGCTGCTCTTTAAAACCAGGAAATAGAAGATAACTCATTAACATATGCATGTCTCTTTGTAAATATTCTTTCACTAAACTTGTTAGTTGCACCAAATATATGAAATGCATAAAGATTCTGAAGATACTATGATAAATACAACTATAAGAAGCAAATATCACAAAGAAAAACAAACTGTTGTCACTATAGGTCTAATCAAAATGGAGATACAAGTTAAATTTGACATAAATATGCTAAATTTAAGTTTATGAATTAACTACATAAAAATTATGTCATTACATATTACAAGACCTGGAGGGTTTTTCTTTTTTCTGTCACCATAATTTCTTAATCTACATGATGGAGTTGAATGTCTTGATCAACCAACAATAAAACAAATAAACTTGTATACATTCAATATCTAAAATGCTTCTAACCACACAACATGTGTCAACATAAATAGTATTAAAGTATAGACAGAACAAATATCAATTTCTAATTATGATCATAAAACTACATTAAGATATTTAATCAGAAATCATAGCAGAAAACACAAATCCATGAATTAATTTGTTTGAATGAGGCTCAAGTAACAGAGTGAAGAATCAAATATAACTTACCAATGAAAATGCCATTTCCAAAATGAAAATAATGAAATACTAACCCTAAAGTAAAGCTGCACACTGAAATGTTAAACCTTGTGTAATTGTCTACATTATCACATATCACTATAAAATTAAACTCAATTACCAAGATATGACTGACACGTGATTTAAATAAGTTAAATTTAATATTTTAACTATTATAAAATAACATCTAATGAGCTTGTTATACCCGAAGTTTTAAACAACAAAAATCACCTCACAAATATTGTACAGTTGTATAAACTTTGATTCAGGATGAAAGGGTCATGACCTGGTCACATTTGACACAAGTATCAAATTGGCTTAAATTTATTGACAATTTATGCCCTTACAAAAATTAAACTTATTCCCAGGCAGTTCCTAAAATTTATCAACTGGAAATGAAGTGAATCATGTCAAACTGCAACCACAACCATCAAGTTTTGATGAAAAATGGTGAAATCTGAATTGCACCAAATTACTGTCATATTAAGTATCAAATTCAATTCTGACACATTCTTTTTAAGTCCTTATACATTACTAGGAGTCCCAAGCAGTCCAACATGCTTGCCTCTACAGATCAATATTTCACCTCTGTCCTTGTGGGTTCAAGTCTTGGGATCAACCAACATGGTCAAGTGAGAAAGCTTGCCACTAGCTTCCTGTGTGTCATTGGTGCTTCCTGAAATTTCCCTCAACCAAATATACTGGCTGGTATATAGAGCTTATTATGTGCTGAAAAAATAGCCCTAACTCTTAATAACCAGCTAACCAAAGTTGATGTATGGAAACTGAATTTGTGCCATGCATATGAAAATACACTGGCAACACTATATGCCCTGTCAAGGAATAACGTGATCACTGAGAAATTTAAACTTAATGGAAGTACTGGGTCTGAACAAGTACAAGAACTAGCATGCCCGCAAACTAGTATTTGAAATTCAATGTAAAGAAGAACACTGCGACCAAAAGAACTACAAATGAGGCATATCTTAATCCAAGGAACAAAAACTATGTAAATCAAAACTATGCGAAAACAGCTAGTAATTCTCACTTATCACTTTGACCTAATTTTCAAAGGAATGATCAAAAATGACCCTTTATCAAGAAAAACTGACAAAATTAAGATAAAAGGATACCAAAGTAATATATGTGATATAACCATGTTATTTGCACAGACATTTGCATCTTAATACAGACACCTGAACAAAATAAAAATTCATTTCTTTGTGAACACAAGTTGGTAAATGACACAAAGACATTTTATTCCATTTAATAAAAAAAATATGGTATGCCCTCTTACCGACATTCTACTGCCCAAACAAAAATGTCCAACAATTCTGGAATAAACCTTTCAGTCTTTTTAAATTTAATTTTTAAATTTTAAATTTTTTAAAACATTTATGATATTCAGCATTTTCAAATTAGCTGCTGGGGTAAACAAATGGGATGTCAGATTGGCACCATTTAGGACCAACTAGTCACAATAAAGTGGTGAAATTCCATGTTGGTATGGCTATCCATTGATTACAATAACAAATCTTCAAGATGGTAGATATGGTGGCTATATTGGAATTGACATTAGCACCATTTTCATAAATGATCCAGAAAATATGAAGTCCTTTGGTGAAAACCCCACATCAATATGACTTCCCACTCAGGAGGAATTACAATAATATGATTTTCAAGAAGCTGCCATAGTGACCATACTGAATGACAACAACTAGACATCATAAATATTTTCTTCTTGAAACTGTGTATTTGAAAACGCTGATGAACCCAAAATATTCTTTATTTGTGCAACAAGATAATGTGTTTACAGAAAAACTTAATGTCATGTAAAACTGTACTAAAAATATATAAATTTTTAGAAAAGTTTTGCTTCTTAAATAATAGAACTACAAATTCTTCAATTTTGTGGCATGCCATTCATTTATCAAATTAAAATTAAAAATTCTTCTCCTGATCATTGTTGAGCAGGTGTTGAAAAGTAGCTTGCTACCTAAGCAAGCATCAGATAAAAAAAATCCACTTTACTATCTCTTGTCTTTGAGGGTGAGAATAATCTGAAATTGTTCTAGTCCTTACTTGTTTTCTTTTCATCTAGATTCTTAAATTTATTGTTGTAATTTATTGTATTTATAAATCAGAGAAATGTAACATTTTTACCAAAAGCAGTTTGTTTGGGCACATATGAAGAAAACTAATATTCCAAGAATTCATATTACATGGGTACTGAAATATATTAAAATGAATGTTTATGCTAGCATCATTGTTTCTAAAGAATCTCTATTTCACTTTCTTACACAGATGCAAACATCAACAACAATAACAATCACATCAATAATTGGTGCATGATTACTTATATAGTGATATAAATGGGAACATGTAATATTTCAAGATAAATGCACAGCAGTACTGAATTTTCCCTTTTCCCAAGTTTGCAACCAAGTTCAAATGATAACAAAATGTATTCCAAATATTTTCCTTTTTTCCAAATTTGCTAGCATTTACAAACCGTCATAAAACTGAATACTGAAATACAACATGAATTTTGAAAAAAGATTTATGTTCCGGTCATTTTCTTGCCAAGTGCTTTCTATTGTACACCAACAAGTTAAAAAACTATAATTACATAACTGCTTTCTATTGTATGCTGTCACGTTAAATACCTATAATTAAGAAATGCAATGACAAGGCTTTTCTGTCATTTAAGCACATTTCTAGAAGATTAATAACATGATACTAGAGTTGTCTCCAGGACAAATTCACTTTACAAGAGGATGTTTTCTCAAATTATATATTATGAGTTAGATTACAAACATATTTTAGTAACACAAACATTTCATTGAAAAGAGCAAAACAAGTTTTTAATAAAACCAAATAAATCTAGAAACAATTAAATTTAAAAAGGTGTCATATTGTAAATCTTCAATCACCCCCACATTTTATATACTATTCTGTGTGTCTTAACATTTTATATACTATTTTGTGTCTTAACAAGTCTTCCGGTAATGATGTCATAATATAAAAAACTGCAATCAAATTCATCAAAATACTGTATATAATTCTGATAGAGATATTTATTAATTGGAAAGCAACAAAAATGACGGATGAATTTCTTACCAGGTTAGAATTTAGTTGCTAATAACAAATAAAGTTGTGACTCATCTATAAATAAAGTTGAAACTTGGTAGTGAATTTGTAACGGTACATATATTAAGTCTCAAACTTGGTAGCAAACTTGTAAAAAGGCATATATCAAACTAGAAAGTTTATAATATTTATAGAATAGTTTATATCACTAAAAACATGGCGGCAAACATACAGAATATATCAAGCTTGAAAAGTTCAAAAAATGCACAAATTGAACATACATTCTGCATTACATTGAATTTTGGCATTAAGGCACCATGCACAATCAGTTTCTGAAGTAAAGGGGTGAGACATATTTCAGGTGAAACCAAAACTGAACCAAATAGTACAATATTTCCTAAATAAAAGTCACTAAAAATCATAGAATGGTTAAGTAGGCATATCTTTTCAGATACATGAAATTTACTTAACTAAATCAAGAAAATTTAATTAAAAATCTGACATGAAAGCCTAAATAACAGGTAGTAAATGAATTCAAGTATTGTTTGTAAGCGTGTGTATGTATGATTAGGACTTTTATCGTAGTTTTAACAATTTTCAGTCATATCACCATGATGTCTGCAGTGTGGCAGTTTATAGTGATCTCTAGCACTAGGGCATCATGCCCCAGACATGTAGCATGATGTCCCTCCCAGTCATATGATCCTTACAAGTCTGACCAGTACAAACACTAACCTATTAATGCTGAGCGCTTTGAGGAAGCTGTGTATACCATATTTGATAGTTTTTGTTAAAACTAGGTCAGGGTTCAAACCCAGCACCTCCCACATCTGAAGTGGATGCTCTAACCACTAGGCCACCAAAGTGGTTTTTAGAAGCATAGCCAATGGATGACAAAGATCAAATGGCACGCAAATTACTGTGTAATTTTGTGCAAAGTATTATGGGTACTACTAATACTAGGTACTGTTATATATTTAAGTACAGAATGTAGAAACTTCATGACTAAATACATATTTTTTAAAGTTTTGCATTCCTATATGTTCACATGAAATATATACCCTTCTATTTTCATATGCGAGACCATAAGATTTCCCATCATTCCATGTTACACTTGTTTGTTCCTAAAAAATTATAACTGCAGCAACAAAAATGAACATACAAAAAAAACAGAAACTGCATTACACTTCTGACATGGAAATTAAATTTATTACTTTTAAAAATCTGACTCCATTCCATCTGCATATTTATGATGGTATTTCCTTGACAACTGATAAAACTGCTAGGGTTAAATATGGTCAAATAGTTTACAAAACGTCAAAAGTTTAATACTGTGACAGATTGGTCAAACTGATCCAAAACTCTTAAGTTACTAATATTCATATGACATGAAGTGAATATAGGACGAGGGGGTACAGTGCTGTGCTGAAGTTAATTCACTAAGGTCTGATTCTGCACCAAGTTTGGTATAATACTCATTAGAATATCATGTTTCCTATACCACATGATGAAAGAGTCCAATTACTTATAAGCGAAAGAAACTATATATTCCCTTGAAAGTATTTTTCACTGATAGAAGGCAGCTAGTAAATTATAAAAGGATATCAATTTCAATCTAACCCCCTGCCTGACCCACTCAGCCCCTCTACTTCAGGCTCCTGTTTTAAAAGGTGCATAAAGGCACCAAGAGAACATTCCTGAGTTAGAAATCTGATGTAGTCTTGTCCTAAAATGTGCCTGGCTCTCGTACTCTCTCAACTACAGACTTTGACTTCACGGTGCATCAGCATGGTAACAGCATCCAGTACCCTCTTTGAAATTCTGAACATCACAGGAATTTTGGTTTAATATCTTCATTGCTGGTACACACAGCACAAATTTTCCATGAATATAGTCTATTTCTTTTTATAAATTTTTATTTATAATACTGTAAAATGTCCTTGAATTAAATCCATAATCCTCCTCAAAATTCCTTTGAGGGATGCTTGATCCTCAAGAACGTGGTACAGGGATACAGAAGTTTTACAATTTGGTTTCATTACTTAGAGCGATGAATCATCAGCCTTTGTACATACGCATTGTTTGGAAGACCTCCGTCACAACCGACGAATCCAGCAATAATCATTTGAGCATTTTTGCTTTCACTGCTTGCAAAAGAAGCTCAGACATGACACATTTTAAATCTGTGCCAAGTATTTGCATATATAATCGATAATATGGAACAGTGTCCAGTATATCTGGATGACTACAGTTTTCCAGTGAATTCCCAGTACTAGGAGGAATCACTCAAGTGCATGTTATTAGAGTTCCGTAATACAGTATACACATTGTCTACTTGGGCCAGCCCTTCAAAAAATGGTATAAGGTCCAATAATTCACTATCCTGCATATCATCAAACCATGACTGTACTGGCACCTAAAAAACCAACAAAAAAAAAAGAGGCAAAAATGAGGAAGGATTTGCTGGCAATTTTAGTGGTGGTGAACATTAAATGCTGGCAAATGATTTGTATGAACATAAACATTCACTACTTTAATCTGTACATAAATGTTGGTGAATGTCCTGACTAGATGTTTTGACATCATTGATATATCAATAAATCTCAATATTTACTCTGGCAATAATGTATCACAATACAAACTCTTGAAATAGTCTATCACAGTACAAATTAGCAATAGTGTATCACAATACAAACTCTTGCAATAGTCTATCACAGTACAAATTAGCAATAGTGTATCACAATACAGACTGGCAATAACATATCAGACTACATATTGATAGTACTGTATTGCAATACTGACTCTTGCTACAGTGTATCACATTACAGATTGGCAAAAGTGTATCAAAATAGCAATAGTGTATCTTGTATTACTGACAAAAAAGACATTCCAAGGTCCAGTTTCATAACTATTTAAAATATAACGACAATATGTGTACATATCTTCTATTCTTTATTAATAATTCTGGCTAAAATTATGTCTGTATTCTTATGAAAACAAAATTATATAGCAATAAAGATATACTTCTATCTTTAAACATGAAATCACATTTACATTTGAAGATCACATGTATTAGCATATGAAATCATTTCTGATTTACTTCTTTTCCTTTACAACACCCTAAATTTGTTTTACAGGTATTAAAACTGCTATTTTGCAAGTTGTCTGTTCTTTTTCACTTCTTCCAGTAACAACGATTATTTTCTCCAGTGTTAAAATTTGTCTCCTCTTAGTCTGAGGTTCTTCCCTTTTTATTTAGGTACCAGGTGTTAATATTATTAGAGCTCAGTTGTAATATTTACTGTTAAGACTGTTTCGACTAGGCTTTGGGAAAATATGACAAATCTTACATCATTGTATATCTAATAATTAATTAATTAAAAAGAAAGTTATCTCCTCCAGAAACATCTGAGCTGAGCACATTTTTTTTAACCACTAGTCCAGGACAAGTGGTTTCCGAAAATTAATTAGTCCCACCTTTCTCTTCACTAGTCCCACTTTACTTTTTACTGATCCCAAAATGGTAATCACTTAACAAGATTTGATAAAATGTATGTACTTAATCCATATAAAACAACAAACGAAATAATATACAACAATTATTTCTCAAAAGAATTAAATTTTTCAAAAAATATTGGTCGTTATACATTTGGCTTCTTCAGATTGATCTATATATGTTTTCGCTGATGGATTTGAAAATATGTCCATATATATGTCTGCCACCTGCACCAGCACTAAGCCAGCAGGTGATAGCTGTGTCTGGGTTAAAGTCCTCAAGCTCTGGTCCATTTGCAGAAATGTTCATCTGGGTGAATTTTCTACTTGTGCCAGTTTTGGATAGTGTTTTCAGTAAATGCAAAACATCTTTCCTTTCCGAGTCAATATATTCAAGCTTGGGATAACTATCAACCCAAAGCGGCTGAAAATTTCTGTCTCTTAGTAGTGTCATATTTAATATTTTTGCCATCACAAATTGTTGCTTATGTCTCTTTGGAGAAATAGTAACCACACATTCAAGTGTCCATCTTACTTTTTATCTGTCCATTTTCAAACAAATTTTGACTTCTCCAAAGTGCCATTATAACTTTCCTTACGAAAATAGTGTAGCAAACTTATTTTATTTACGAGTATTTATCAGCTTGCTTGATAACTACTTCTAAAGTGATCATAACATCAATTTTCTCTTTTAAATATGAACTGAAACCGCTCATTAATTAGCATACTTGTTTTGCTTCATACATAATATCACACATGGAAGTTAATCATCTGTATAATCAATTATAAATTAAAGAATCATTACTGTCATTTAATCAGTCCATAAAAGAAAACCAACACTGATGTCAGTAAAATACCTATCATTCACTTAACTGACTCGCTGGATTAAAATCATAGTGAGTCGCTCGTTATGATCTAGTCTGAGTTTCCTCTGACCCTTGCCACCCCATTTTTGAAATTTTTTACATTTATGTTAGGGTGTAGGGTCATATTCCATAAAATATCGAAAAGATGGAATTCACAGACACCATTTGGTGTTGGCATATGGTAGATGATTACTAACCAACCTAGTAAACTTAAATGAAACTGTCATTGAGATATACCTGCATGAAATGGATAGGAATATGATTTATTTTCTCAGATATTGCGAGTATAGCATTCATTATAGCTTTATCTGGCGGAAACAATAGCGTTGATGAAATTTGACCTGGAACTCGTCTTTTGCATTCTGAGTTACATGACTACACAAATCTTGTGTCCCACATGTCAATGACTTCAGGGTTCAAATTGTCACATGATATCAACAATTAACCATTTCTAATATTGCTGTGGGAAAATAAATTGAACATATAAATGAAAGTCACATAATATTTAAAACACTGCCAATTGATCATACTGGCTTTTTTTTGTTTGACATGTTGATTTGCCAATAATTTGATTGCTTAGCCCAATATGCAGTCAAGCGGTAACAGAATGTAAATGTATACAGGGGCTAGAATCACGACCAGAACACAGAGGTTTGTTACAAATGAAATTGGGAGCCTAACCTGTAATAAGATAACAATTTTATTTGTAATGAACCCTATGCCCGGAGGGCATGATTGGTCAAAAAAAGGTAGATATGATGACTAAAGCAGGAAAATAAGGACTAGCCCAACATTTTAAAAAGCACTTTTTCCGGACTAACGACTTGGAAAATTTTACTTGCCTGACTTCAAAAATGACTAGTCTGGGACGTTGGTCTATGGGATTTGCTTAGCCCTGAACAGACTCATTTATTCAGAGACAAAAGTCTATGGCTTAATTCATATATGACATAAAGCGATTCACTCTATAAACAATTTGTGTAACCTAGTTGGAACAACTTGAATAGACAACAGCTTGGTTTGTTGGATGTAATCCTTGAAACATCAGGAAAAAAGATAATGAATCGAATCTTGGTAATGATTCTCACTTGCTGGTTTAATAGACAAAAGACATATTCACCCCCTGGCAATACAGATTAACTCTAAAGACAATATATGACCAAAATTTAAACTTTGGCACTGCACTGGTAATCTGAGACATGTACATTAGCCTGGTTTATGGTTGATAACATCTTTCACTATATACTTCACGTGCCAAATTTACAAACCAGTAGCCAGATTCCTTTGTTGTTTTGGTTTTCTTATGTCTGTTTCAGATAAACAATCCTTATTATTCAAATAGTCATTCTTACAAATGATTACAAAAAGGTCTGTCTCTGTTCTCATAATATGGTCATTCACAGTGCCAGATAGACTGGTCCTCAGTAATACATATGGGTAGTAGCTACATAAGGGCTGGAAAGCAGGTTAAGCGCTGGAACAGCTACATACCTAGTTTACAATCTAAAAT